AAATTATTATAAATAATTTTAATTATTAAATAAAATTGCAGGCAAATTTGCCTGCAAAACGCTTGAAGGGATAATATTTAAAAAAAATAAAAAAATTTGAGAATTAATACAGTTATGAAAGTTATTACTCAACGAATATTAAATTACATAAGATAAAAATTTATATATATATAGTTTTAAATATATAGAACATTTTTACTTAATGCATAGTAAGCAATTTATTTTAATCAAAGTGATCAAATTATCCTGTTATGTTAAAAAAAAGGTCTGCGTTATTAATAAAGTTACAAAAATATATATTATAACATAAATATTAATCCAATTAAGATTAAATTTTATATGCAAATAGTATTAAATTTGTTGAGCAACTTTTACTTAGAAATGAAAAACCAAAGTGCTCAAATTATTCTGTAAAGTTAAAAAAAGGTTTGCAATATTAATAAAGTTACAAAACACATATTACAACATGAATATTTATCTAATTGAAATTAAATTTTATATACAAATAATATCGAATCTTTAAGCAACTTTTATTTAGAAATAAAAAGTGATTGACTTTGACTAAAGTACTTAAATTTTCTTGTGAAGTCAAAAAAGTGTGACTTATTTAGTAAAGTTACAAAAAAAAATTATTTCTACACAAATATTAATTTCATCAAATTAAAACATTAGATGTAAATAGTATTGAATCTGCTAAACAATTTTTACTTATAAATGAAAGGTGATTGACTTTAACCAAAGTGCTTAAAATTTGTCATGAAATCTCTATATTAATGTTTATAAAAAAAGATATTAAATATATATAAAAATTAAAATTTATAAAAATAAAAAAATTACATTTAGTAAGAATTCTTACAAGTTTAAGTATTTAAAAAATAAGATTGTTTTTTAAAGATTATGTTAAATAAAATAAGTGTTTTTTGTTAAAAAAAAAAAAAATTAAAAAATTGATTTTCAATATAATTATAATTAATTGTGCAACTGTAATTAATCATCAAATTAAAAATTTTCATATCATTTCGCATACAATTTTTTTACAGAAAAAGTAAAAGAAAAATAATAAAATAAATTAGAGTTTTAAATTAAATTAAATATAATATATTGTTTATTAAATAATTTAAATAATTTAATCAAATTAGATTAGATTAGGTCAAATCAAGTCAGATCAAATGAAAATTTAAATCAGATTAGAATTTTGATTGACCTAATCTGATTCTCTTAGTTCAGGTAACTTGATTGACCTAATCTGAACTAACCTGTTCAGATCTCTAATCAGATATAATTTTGAGAATTCTAAATTAAAGTTAAAGTTATAAAGTTAGAATAAGATTATAAACAAGTTAACTTTGCTAACTAACTGCAAAAGAATTCTTCTTTTAAAATACCTGCTAATATACAAGAATTTATAAGTAAATAAAGTAGTATCTATTAATTCTAAACCATTAGAGGAAAAGATCATAAACATTTTCCTGAATAAGGTAAATAAGAAAATAGTTAGTGACAAAATTAAGTAGAGAAAGTGAGAAGAAAAGTTTATGAAAGTAGAATCTATTTTCCTCTAAAAAAGATAAGCAGGTATCAGTTGATAATAGTATACTTTATAAGAAAAATCAGATAAAACAAAGGAAAAAATTCATTTAGGAAGTATTTGTTAAAGCAATTACTAAAGTGATCTTAGATGATTTGATACTTTTAGTATCTTTCTAAAGAGAATCAAATTTAAGTACTAATTGTTCTAATACTATTAATAAGTTAAGCTCAATTCTTTGGATATTTACCTAAAATAAATAATACAAAGCTATGATTCTTTAGCAGTAAAGATAAGAATGCTAATCTTTTCTCTTTTATATGAAAAACTTCTCAATGTTGAAGATTTTGTTGATTATGCAGTTCAAGAAGTTATTATATGTTACTATCAATTTGAAAAAGTTCTTATTCAGAAATGAAGTGAGATAGCATCTGAAAAATAAGTTAATCTGAAATCTAATGCTGTCAGTAGAATTTTAAATATAGAAGTTAACGTTTAGCTTTCTGCAGATATTTCTGATACACTTTTATAAAAAAAGATTAAGCAGATTAAAAAACTCTAAAAGCTCTTTAATATAATAGATATAAATAAAATTTATCAAATTTATTCCTTTTTTATTAATAGTATCTTTAAAATGATGAATAATAATATTTAGTATATTATAAATAATATACTAGTTGACTATAACATTAAGATAGAATTGTCCACTTGTGTTTTGTCAAAAAATAGTTTATTAAATGATGAAAAATTCTGAATTGTCTATTCTGATCTTAGTTTAGGAAGTGATAAGAAAAATTCTGAGTTATCATATACTTCTAACGTATTAGAGGACAAAGCACTTAATATATCTTTAAAATCAGGTGTAAATATTTTACTTGCATCTTATCTACCAATTCCTAGGACTAATCCAACTCATGATCGCATTTATTTTTGCAAGATATTGGATCAATATCCTAATTTATATAAAGAAATTAGTAGTGAAAAATTTTGATTATTATAGCAGACATCATGCAGTTCTAAAAGGATCTGTCCATTATGCATATTAGATCATAATGATGAGGAAATATAAAAGTTAACATAAAGCTGGATCCTAGTTTATTAAGTGTAGACGGCACAAAATTGAAATAGTTGCAAAGTCTCATTGCTTTACAATAGTCTGGGTAATTCTTTGGAGTGGGTGATAATTTATCTGGGAATTTTAACCTTTTTCTCAAATAAATAGGTCTATATGAGAAAAAAGGGATTTAAATTGACTCGCAATCATATAAAATTAAGATATGTCTAAGACTGATAAAATACTAACTTCTGAATATCTGGATTGGCATGCCAAATTAAGTGGGTTACCAAGCATTTTGACGGATAAGATTCGGTCCAGCTTATACAAAAAATATAAAAAAGAAACTGGGCATGAGCCATGGCAATTATCAGAAGTACATGCATCAGAAGTCATAAATTCGATGCTAGGAAACAAAGTATTATATTTATCTTTTTCTGAGCCATGTGAAGGAAAAGGGCCCATCACTTTCGAAGCCAGACCTGATCCAGAATTAATTATCAAATCCGTCTTAGAGCATTTCCCATACTTGAAATTCCGAAATAGTTTAGAGGGATTGATAATTTTATTTTTGCATCACCTCAGCCGTGGAGCTCACCATGCCCTATTTGCAATGGAAAACATGGAAATTATGGATTACATGGCTCATGGTATCGCGAAAAAATGGGAATCAGTTCCCTTATGATCCTGAATTAGCGAAGTTGTATTCCCAAGATATAAGTTGGAATATTGCCTTTCCTGCAACAGTTCAAGCAATAAATTTATATTCACGATCGTAGCATAGAAGCTTTGTCGTGTATTCTCACACTTGTATTTATTTTTCATCGCTCGCTTTACGAAAGAGGAGCGAAAGGGCTGGAAAGATATATAAGCTTTTTAATGACATTAGTAAATCGATCTTTTCCCGCTAGATTTATTTTAACTTGATCTAATAATAATACATCCGAGTCGGAAGTCGGTTACCCGACAAATTCGACTCGTTCAGAGCACTACACTCAAATACATGCGAAAAATTAACATGAAATTCACGTTCAACATATCATTGCTTTATTAGTGAAATAAAAAATTTAATAAATTAAATTATTTAAAATTAAAATAGTAAATATTAAGAAAAAATGCAATTATAAAAATTCTTTATCAAAAAGAACGTAATAAAAAAAATGAATAATAAATTAAATTATTATCGAGATCTTTGAACTCAGTAAAAAAAAAAAATCTGAAACGATTATATTTTTACAAGAATATAATAAAATAAAATGAAATTACATAAAAATATCTTTCAAAGATATATCTTTAGAAGTGGGCTTTAATTTTATGATAGTGTTTAACCCTTTTTTCGAATACCTCCATTCTATGGTCCAATTCTTTTATGGTATCTTTCAAGTTGTCCATAAGCATCGCATGTTTCGCTTGGAACTCAGTCAAGTATCCTCCACCATTTTTGATACCAATAGCCTGGGTTATGCTAGCAACGTATGCCAAAAGGACGAAAATGGTGATTGCAAATTTCGTGGTTGTGAATTTCATGATGCTGTTTCTTAATACGATGATTTTTTGATTTTTTGAGGTTATCTCAAGAGTAAGAAGATTTAAGTTGATTTTGTAATGGAATAATGATGATAAGTATCTGGATAATGTGGATAATGGTAAAATTTGATTGTATTTATATCTTTTTCTTCCATATTATGTAGAAAATATTGAAAAAAGTCCGATCTTTTTAATTTCTTTTTAATTTCTTTTTAATTTAAAACGTGAATAAAGTTTTAAGATTTGCGATTTAAAAATTAGTGCCGATCTTATAAGACAATTCAGTGAAATATCATATGATTAAATAGACAATTTTTGAAATCTTTATTCTTCCTCATTAGTAGAATGGGTAAAAAATGTTGCGAATGCCGGTAGAACCATATGTATACGATTACCTGATCCGGAGGATATTCAGTAAATTTTTGTTATGATTTTGTGAAAGCTCATGATTCCACTGTGTGTGGATTTCAAAATCAGCCAAAGGTTTGGTGTGACCAATAGATATCAAGTTAAAACAACATAACATCATTATGATTTCTCAACTACTTTGATTTTACATATTTATTTATTAATTTATAAAATCCAATACAATTGAATTAAAATAAACGAATTATTATATTTTTTTTTTTTTGGAAGTTTTTTCTTTCCTTAATTATCAATTATGATAACAAGAAAACAAGCAGTCAAGGATAATATAGTTAGTATAGTACCCACTAGTACACTACCTCTACTAGCAGGAAAATGACCCGTTGTCATTAAATATTGAGAATGAAAATATCTAACAATGCCAAAACCTAGGAAAAAAATTCCCAAAATTATAAAGACAATACCAATTATGTTTCCTCCCTTACTGGATTCTCCCTTTAATCGAAATAATTGTGTGACCGCTAAATAAAATAAGAATGATAAGAGAAGGACGTTCGTTTAAAATTAATCAATACCGACATAATTTACTCACCAACACCGATTCCTACGAATGATAGGGAAGTACGAAGCCAAGCTAAAAATGTCCTTTCATTCGCTATTGAACCATGAAATTTAATTGAAGTTAATGATATGAAATCATGATATACAATAAAGCAAATTCAAATATATATTTCAATATACCCAAATGATCTCTAGCAACACTGGCCTTATTCTCCAACACCAATGAAGGTTTATATTCATCAAACTTCTTTACCACCCACTTTCTAAATGAACTTTTTGAACCATCATCTTGTTGATAGCTACGAATACTATATCCACTACCCATATTATTATTATTATTATTATTATTATTATTGCTTTGTTGTTGTTGATGTTGTGCAGTTGAATTTGTATTATTGGGAATTTCTTTATCTATCATTTTTTTATCGTCGCTGTTGCAGGAAATGGAATTTTCTTTTTGATAACCTATAGAAGATGAGTCCTCAGCTTGTTCCGGTAAACCAGAAGTACGACGATAAATAAGCTTCGAGTTGATTTGTTGATTTGTAGAAGCTGCTTTTGAGAAAGTCACGGGATTTGGTGATGGCATTTTATTAGAACTGTGACAATATAATGTTCAGAAACTATCGATGAACTTCTAGTGAGAACGAAGATCAATGATAAAAAATTTTTTTTGATGATTCGTGGAAGAGAAAAAAAAAAAAAAAAAAAATTTTAAGGTTAATTGGCGCAAAAATAAACAGTTTCGTTTAATGCATCTATATATATATCAATCGTAAAATGCAGTTGGCGTATTTAAAAACGTTTCACGATGAAATTTCTCGGTCGATCTGACCAATATTATTTGTACGTCATATTAACTTTCGTAACTCATAAAAAATGAAGAGTTAAATATATATATGTCAAGCCATTTTTACATTCGCTCATTTTAAGAAATTATCCTTTGCGAATGAAATGGAATATCCGCAGCAAATCTTTTTTTTTTTTTTTAAAAAAAAAAAAGAAAACATACCGACCAAAAGAATTTCATTAAATTTTGTTTATTCCAACACAAAGTTTGTTATATTATTAACGTGTTTATGAACGAGTTTTTTGTGGCGACGAACAAGTTTTAACGAGTACAAAACTCATGATCATCAAAAAACTTTGGTGAAAAAAAAAAAAAGGGAAGCGATTTTTTTTCATGAAAACAAAGAAACAGAAAAATTAGTCATAACATATCCTGATTGGACATGTAATGAGATAATAAAATAAAGAAATGTACTAGTTTCAAACATTTTTGACAACAAAGTCCATTCTCACGTGAGAATTTAGAACATAATAAAATGACTGTTCCTTATAGATATAACGCCACTTCTTTTTAGACCAAACGCAAACACGAAAAGAACAGTCCCTGTAGAAAGAAAAAATGTGGGAAATATTGTTCGTGATATTGAGCCACTCCCAATTTTTCATAGACCAAAATAAAAATAACCTTTCTTTGTTTCGTCGCATTTTAAAATGTACTAGTTTGCGATTTATCGGAAAATTGCCCGATTAGATTGACTTTTTATTACCAGACATTAAAAATTATACAATATACTTTCCATGAAAAAATTATAAGTATTAATTAAACTATTAACACTGCAAACATATGTTGTCATGTCATGTAAAGTTACGTTGCAAGTTTTAATTTGGGTTTATTTCCTTCCCCCTTTTTTTTGAGTCTCCTGTTTCGGGCGATGGATGGATAAGAACAAATGAATTCTTTTGATTCTAACCTTCTCTATCAAAGAAAAATCTAGGAATTGTGAATTCCGGAATCCAAATAAATGTTTTAATTAAACTTTAATATTATAGATGAGCAGTTTTGGAACAATGTGTAATACAATGAAATCCGAATGTTTTCATTATTTGATAAATGTACCCCTAATATATTTGTGTGAATAGTAACAATGGGCAAATAACATAAATAAACTCTAGTCAATCATGAATGTTTTTCTTTTAAAAAAAAAAAAAAAAAAAGGGTGTTGAAATGCATTCATTTCCGTGTGATATGTAAGTACTAATTATAAGCATGAGCAAAGCGTTTTAGCCAACAAACTGCTTTAACACGCTTACCGCACGTGATATGAATGATATAAATGATACATCAAACCCCTTTGTAATTTTCCTTGGTTTCCATATTTGATCTCATTTCCATTCATCCTTGTTGTGGCGCGTTTCTAATTTTACACTACATACAAAATATTTATATGCCTTCCCAACTTCCACCAAATAATACAAAAGTAATGATAAAAGATATTGTACTCTTTTTGTTAATGATTTGTGGCTTTATTTACTAATTTGGTTAGAAGATTTTCAAATAAGGAAAGGACGTGCTGTTACCAAAACTTAAATTAGTCACTTACTATTATATAAGTTTTCACATCTAAATAAATAATTAAATCAGTTCAATTTTGTTTGTTTATAAGAATATTTAATAAGAATTGGGGGGGAACAAAAAAAAAAAAAAAAAAAGATTTCGATAAAAAAATTCTTTTAAATTTGATTTCATCTCGATGGAAACGGGAAAGGAGTAATTAATTTATTAAGTGTCTAGGAGTTATTCATTTTAATCACTTTTGATGATAATTATAGACCCTTTGTTGACATGGAAGCAAATCATGTCCAAAATTAAACTTATCCTTCCCATTTTTTTACCGAAAATATACAATAAAACCAATTGGAATAAACGGCGCAATCGGATGTTATATAATATATATATAATATAATAATATACAATATTATTATAAAAAAATAAATATTATACAATTGTTTATATATCCTACTGTATTTCAAAAAATAGTTCATATAAAAAGAGAGAATTTTCTCGGTTCTCCCCCTTTGGAAAGTTTTTTCTCAATCGATTTGATATTTCGCCACGAAACTTTTATTTTTCTTTTCAAATAAAAATTTTTTTTTTGTACATAAAACGACTTTAACTTTTCTTTTTTTCTTTTAAAAAAAAAAAAAATATATATATATATATATATTATTTTTTGTTTTTATTTATATATATATACATAATATATATATATATCTATCTCGGGGGGATAAACTGATTTTTCTTATTTATTTCTTTTACTCATAATCTTGTTACATAGTTCAATAATACCAAAAGTAAATTTCTTATAGTACAAAGCCGGGCTTTGTTATCTTTGCATCTTATTTAATAATATTTCTTTTTCTTTTTCTTTTCATACCTCACTTTCTAGTAAACACTTTTTGCATTCATCTCTCTTTTTTTCTCTATCATTTAAAAATGCATGCCACCAACCAAACTAATAATAATAGCTCAACATCTCCAATCGATCTTACTTTTATTTATACTTTATCCATTGTAAAAATTAAATCCATCGGTAATCAAACTAATTCGCCAAAAATTCGTAAAGATTCTAATAACCATTTACGTAAATTGGTCTTAATTAATACATTTATTGAAAGAAAAATGGCAGTTTACGAAGAAATATTAAAATCGAAGAGATGTCAACAACTACAAAAACAACAACTTGTTCAATTTTCTCCTCTTACCCCCCCTCCTTCTCCTCCACCAATGAATAAGCATTTTGTAATGTCCCCTCAAAATGTTAAACAAAAAATGCTCCAACAGCAGCAACAACAACAGCTAAAACAGCAACAGCAACAACAGCAACAGCAACAGCATCAACAACAACAGCAGCAACAGCATCAACAACAACAGCAACAGCAGCAGCAACAGCAGCTACAACAATTGCAAAAACATAAGCAACAACAACAACACAATTCACAACAAAAAAAGAAAATCGGATATTCCTATGGTGGGGGATTCAAAAGGGTTCAACAACAACAGCGTCAAAGACCTTTCCAAGCTGCTCAACCCGTTCAAATTTATAATAATCAAGTTCCAATCGTTCCTCAAAGAACCGGGTTCAATTTGGTTCAGCAACCACCGATTCATTGGATTCCAGTTCAAATACCTGCTCATCATAATCATCAAATGCATTATAATGTTAATAATTATAGTATGGTCCAAACTCAGGAACAACAACTATACTTACAACAACACGTTTTCTTGCCTCCTAATCCGCGTGGTCCCCACGCCCAACCACTTCACTTGGCTAAGTTGGTTAGAAGGCCTCAATTGGTTAGAATGTAATATATAATTAATAATAAATAACATAATTGAGGATGGATGTTGGAGTTCTCGGGAAAACTTGGAAGAAGTAATTTCTCTTAAAGATAATGAAAAGAATTCGATATTCTTTTTCAAAATTTTCAAGTTTTTCTTTTTTCACTTTGTAATTATTTTTTCATTTTTTTTAAAAAAAAAAAAATTGCTTATTAGCACATTTTTAATAAATATTATTATATATTACAGTATATATATTGGGATTTATTTTGGGTTAAATTTTTTCAAATCAGAATAGTTTATAATTTATTTTTTTTGTCAAAAAAAAAAAAAAAATTATTTTTTAAAAAAAAAATTGCCATATTTTGTATTTTTCTCTTTTGCATTATTTTTTTGTATGTTAATTAAAATAGAATTTTCGTAAATTAATAAAAATTTCACTTTTTTTTTGTTAAATAATAATTACAAGTTTTGTTTTGTCCGTCTTGTTGTCTTGTTGCAATACCGACATAAAAAAAAAAAAAAAAAAAAGCACATTCAAAATTTTACGCGACAGCATATCACGTGATATTGCGTCACAGAATACGTCATCTACTTATCAAGTTCCCAATTTAGCAAATATACTTCGATTACATTTTAATACATAAAAATCCGTGTTTCTTTTTCCCAAGACCACTCTACTTCTCTCTCTCTTTTTTTTTTAACGTTTAGGTTTTTCCGTTATCATTAGAAACTTAATTATATTTACTGCAAGACAGGGTACCTGGTATACAACCTTTTCCTTTTCAATTTTTTTTTTTTTTCCTTTGCATTAAAAATAAGCAAAGCATTTGTCAGAAAAGACGTTCGATACAAACTTTACGTTTAAAAATTTACTAAATCCAAGAAATTTTTCCTTTCTGAAACAAAACGCCCGCGCTTTTCCTGAAAGAACGGATAAACATGATATTACAAAGCTTGTTAACAACGCGTATACTAGGAACTACGCCAATACTTTACTCTGGTAGTCGTGTTATCGGTGTAAACTTGTTACGACAATATTCTAAAGCTTCCGTGACTAAACCTTCAGAAACTAAACCACAAGAAACAAAAAAGAAAACTTCAATTAAAAGTACTTCAAATAAAAGCGTTTCAAATAAAAGTACTTCAAAGAAGGGTAAAAAAAAAGGTAAGCAATATAGTACAAAAATTGGCCTCAAAAGAAATGCTCTAATGAAAACAATCGATTATCTCGTCATAACCATTCCAAAAAAGATGAAGCCTTGGTTTCCGTTCCTACAGAACCAAAGAGACCCCCAACCGCTTATTCTCTTTTTTACCGCGATTTCTTTCATAAAGAACGAACAAATTTTCCAGAAAAAGTAGACGTGACCGTACTTGCCAAGTTGGCTGGTGAAAAATGGTCAAAGTTATCAGCTGACGAGAAACAAGTAAGTGAATCCTCGTCGTCCCCCTCTGATTTGACTCATTTATTGATCACAAATTTGTTTTTGGTTCAATATACACGAAGGTATATATTGAAGAACAGAAAAAGTCTGCAGATTCTTATGTAAAAACTCACAAAAAGTGGTTGGAATCTTTGACACCCGTTCAAATTGCTCAAGAAAACAGACGTAGAAAGGAATCTAAATCAAAGAAAGGCGCCAAATTAATAAAAGATCCTAATAAGCCAAAGAAACCTAGAAGTTCCTATATTAATTATGTTGTTGAGCATATTCATGATGATAAAGAAAAAGGACCTGATCGTATTAAAGAACTGGCTACTCAATGGAAGACACTTAGCTCTGAAGAAAAGAAGGTAACAAAAAAAAAAAAAAAAATTTTATTTTCGCGTTTTTGTTACTGACGGGGGAGGTTTTTTTTTTTTTATTTTATTTTTATATTTATTTTATTTTAAAAAAAAAAAAGCCATATAATGATGCATACGCGAAAGATAAAGAGCGTTACGCTGAAGAGATGGAGTTATACAAAAAGAACTTTTAAAGAAGCATAGATCTGACAAGGTTGTATCAGGTTACATTTCACTTGAAAAAGTCCTCCATTTGATGATATTGATCCCTTCCATCCAATAAAATTTATTTCAAGCAACCTTCTTAATTCATTATCATATCAATTTATTAACTTCAACTTCAGAGATTCTCAACACAGTATAAGTTTGTTTATGGGTTACTCTTTTTCTATGCCTATTCCTTCGTTTCTTTTTAAAGATTTCAATAAAAGGTCCCTTTGGTTGTTCCACCACGGTAGCTTTAATATTATAAAATGCCTCGGAAACTAGAGGCTTACCCTTAATAGTGTAATCTTTTGAACCTAATTCCAAAACCCGATTTAATTTTATCTCATCCCCAACATCTAAATCACGTAATCTATGGGCTATAACCAAATCATTTTTTGTTATCAAGAATTTTTGTGATCGAATTTCTATTACTGCATAATAATGAAGTTGATCTCGTAAACGATCTAGATATTCTTTTGTAGTGGTCGAGAATGATGGGGTATTGGGAGGATATTTCGATGGTGGAAGTGAATGCGAAGGTGGTGGAAGGGGCGAAGTTAATGGTTCTGGCGTAGTTGTGGAAGTTATCAATCTAGATAAAGGTTTTGAGTTATGAACCGCTTGATTAAAATTGTTATAATGTAAATAATGAAATTTTAAAATTTAGAATCAACTAAATATTATGAGAAATAAAGGAAATAAGTTATTAAATAAGCGTGATAATTCATTTCATTATTACCTTTCAGTGTATTATCAATTTTCTGTGGTGAACGAACATTATCAATGCGTGTAATTGAATTAATAAATATTTTAGAAAGATTATATATCGGTAAAAAATTTTTTTGATTTAAAATCATTTCTTTTTTTTTTTTTTAAAAGAAAAAAAAATTTGTTAAATTTTTTTTTTGGGATTATCTGCTTTCATGTGACTTTTTTTTTTTTTTAGTTAAATAATCGTACTTCACACGACAGTTTAGTGTTACACCTTTATCAGTTTTTGTCCATCCATTTTTAACACGAAAATCCACAAAAAAATTTTAAAAATATGGGTCGTCATAAAACAAAAAAACAAGCGAGAAAGAACCTGAAGAACAAGAAACGAAAGAAAAGTAAAAATAGAAGAACTCGCAAGATGGCTGAAAGTAATAATAATAGTCCCGAGGATATTCCTATGCTTGAAAGTACTGTATCTATTGAATTTTTTTGGTTGCTTTTAACTTTTGATACCGGTGCTTTTTTTTTATTGCTAAATTAACCTTTACTTAGGTTCTCAAGGTTCTCATAGTAATTGTGATAATCCTTCTGATGATAAGCTCCCTAAATTAAGTTGTAAACATTCTGATTCAGTGGATGTGAAGGACTTTAAAGAGAAATTATTGAAATTTAAAGATATCAAATGTGTGGTGTGTATTTGAACTAGGCTTTTTTTTTCTCTCTCTCTATTTGATTCAGAAATTCTCGTTATAAAGATCTAATTTCTTTTATATTATCTCCAATTTTTTTTTAAAAAAAACGAAAAGAATTGTGGTGATAATAATGAGAGTGGTGTAAAAGTAAAAGTTGAACCTTCTGAACCTGATTCGATAGCTACCACTGAAAGGAATGAAGGAGGAGATCTAAAAAATGAAGACTCGGCGTCATCAAAGAATGCTGAAACCTTAACGAATCCAAATATTTGGATCTGTCTTATTTGTAGTGAACCACATTGTGGTCGAGAAGCCAAAGGGCATGCGAACAAACACTATGAAGACAATAAAGAACATGCCCTTTCAATTGATTTTGTAGATAGAAGGATTTGGTATGTAATATAGCTTTTGATTGATTTATTTGATGTTTCTTAATATATTTCTGTATTAATTTACTTTATGACGATTCCTCTTCTAGGTGTTATAAATGTGATGATGAGCCTAGCATTAATGATGTTTTAACTGAAGTACAAAAGACTATTCATGAATATTCCAAGGAAAAAGAGAATGTGGAGGGAAGGGAGGGAGAGGAAGTGAAGGAGGAAAAGGAAGAAGACGAAGAACGAGGTTGGTTTTTATTGCTCTTAAATCAAATTGACGCTACGACTGAATAATTATACTTTTTTTAACAAATTATTAGTACAAGATTATGAATTAGCAAAAAAAAGTCGGAAAAATCGAGTTCGAGTTACCGCGCCAGGATTGAGTAACCTCGGAAACACTTGTTTCTTCAATTCTGTCATGCAAGTATGTGGCATTTCTTTTATACAGCTATCTTTTAATGTTTCCAACTTGTAATCAGTTTAACATTTTTACTTTTCTACCTGAATTAAACTAGGTGGTTGTGGGTACTTCTGTACTTCATGATATACTTATACCGACGAATCCTTACCATAATCCGCCACATATTGATTCAATTAAATGTATAGCGGCTACAGAGGATAATGTCGATGATCTCACCGATGCTTTTAAAAAATTTCTTCTACAGATGTGGCGTGCTCAGGATAGTATAGTTGCACCGAGAGAATTATTTTCCGAGATTTCTAGAAAATGGCAACAATTCCGTGGATGGCGACAACAAGATAGTCAAGAACTTATGCGCTTTTTATTTGATGGAATAAAAAGTGAGGAGCTCAAGGTAGGAACTTTTTTTTTGTTTAAATTTAACATTATGCATGTGATGTAATCAATTCATAGACTTAAAGATGGGGGGATTAAAGTACTTCCTTCTTAATTTGATTTCATTACTATAACTTTGTTAGTAATACATTATAATTTATGAATTTGGGAAATGTAATTCAAGAGGCTTTGTGCGACTCATTAATAAATCTCTGACAATTCAGCTTATGAAAAGGCGTTTCATTAATTATGTAATAAATCTTTAATTTATAGCTGATAAAGAGATATTCTTCAAAGCCTTCAAAAAAAAGAGATCAAGAGATATGCATGTCATATGATGAAGACCGTAAGGATATCCTCATTTCTTTCATTTTCATATTCGAAAAAGTTTAGGTTGACTAAAATATATATTTTTTCATTTTAACAGATTCCGATGATGAAAGATCGGAAGATTCAGATGATGAAAAGCAAGATGACAAAAAATATGAATCTTTTATTGACGCTTGCTTTGGTGGAAAATTAGTTAGTGTCATTGTATGTGATGTTTGTAAAAATGTAAGTTCCATGATACTTAATTATCACGGAGTCATACGTTATTTATTATAATAAATTGATTTTTTTTTTTAAAAAAAAAAATTTCTAGTGTTCGTATTCGTACGAAGAATTTTTGGACGTTTCATTACCCATTAAATCACCTTCCGCAGATAACGATCAATTTATGAAGAACGAAAACTCATTCCGTTATGATAATGCCGCACCATATAGAAGTAATTCGTCCCAGAGTGATGGTGGTGGTTCAGAAGGTGAAGAAACGAATTCTGACGCTGAAACAGAGGACGGAATTCCAGAGCGGGCAAGAACAAGGATCGAATTGCTTTTGAGAGATCTTCCATCAGATTCAGGTCGATCAAGTCCAAGCTTATCAAAGGAACCAAGTATTACGCTTCGAGAGTGTCTGAAAAGTTTTGTGAAAGTCGAAACTTTGGAAGGGGACAATAAGTTTGCCTGTAACAATTGTTGGAAGCGTAAGAAAAAGAAGGAAGAAAGTGAATCTGCTGGTGATTGTGTTGATGATAATGATGTTAAAATTAATGATGATGATGATGATGATGATGATAAAGATGGTGGCGAGGATGAGGATGATGATGATAAAGATGATTCAAATAAACATGGTAGCGATATGGAAGGAGTAGAAATCAACGGACCTGGAGAACCGATGGAAGGTGTTTTTAGAACGGATGATTCACATCAAACAGAGGATACTGGATCGCCTCCTGTTGATAGACATGATGATGATGAAAGGTCATCTCCAAAATATGGCTACCATGAATCGACATTCTCGGGCACTAGTTCTCAAACTACATCCAAGCCCGTATCAGAACCGGAATTCATTCTTCGTAAAGCTTATAAAAGATATCTTTTTGATTCTTTACCTCCCGTGATGGTGTTTCATTTAAAAAGGTTCCAACAAGTTGGAAGTAGGTGGTCGATTTCAGCTAGTATGAGAAAGATCGATGATTTTGTGGCTTTTGATGAAGAAATAGATCTTGCTGATTTTGTTATTCCGCCTGAAATTGAAGAAGAAAATGAAGTAAATGGTATTAATAATGAACATATTATTAATGGTAGTGTATTGTCAAATCAAAGTAATCCATGCAAATTTGGTACCAAATATCGACTTTATGGTGTAGTAGTACATCTTGGAAGTTTATATAATGGACATTATATAGCATACGTACTCTCAAGGAACATTCTTAGTGATGATGAACAGTCAGGGGTACATAATTCATCATTTAGTGGTTTTGATAAAGCAAGGGATACTGAGCGAAAAAATCATATAACAGATGATCAAAGGCAATGGATTTATTGTAGTGATAGTTCTATAAGGGCTGCTTCAGTAGATGAAGTACTAAATAGTGGAGCGTATTTATTATTCTATGAACGTGTATGTGAATGACGATAAGCTTCTTTTTTTTTTTTTTAAAAAAAAAAAATCTTTCGATGGGATTGTTTGTTATAAAATTGATTGATCAATTAGTATTCTGATAAAAAAAATCTTATTAATATCTAAATTTACTTAATATGATTTATTTATTCCGAACAAAAGAAACAATTGCCTTCCTTTTGAAATTTCAATATTCAAAAGAAAAGTTTTAGTAAAATACTTTTTAAAAAGATCGAAACAATTAGTGTATAAGAAACATATGAGATATATATATACTGTATATATATAATCTATTTATTAATTTTTTTTTTTTTTTTTTGCATTTTTATATCAATTTTCTCTATTTTAATTATAAATAAATATGTATAAATATAAAATTTTAGAGAAATTATATATTATTTTATCAATCATATAATTGCTATGAAAATGTAGTAAATATGAATTATTTAAAGTTTTAAAAAAAACAAATTTATTATATATTTTTTAAAAATTAAAATATCTATCAAATCAAATAATAATATTTTATAATTTAATATAAATTATGTTGCAGCTATTAAAATCAAATTACAGAATAATTGATTAAAAAATTAACCAATCAAATTTATTATTATTTTATTATAAATATTATAAATCTAATTTAAAATTTATTTAAGTTATAACTTTTAAAGTGATCTTAAATCTTAATTTAATATTAATCAAATTAACCTTAAAAGATTATTATACAATTTATATCAAATGGCATTTTTATTTATTTATTATTAGCAAAAGTAACCTTTGAAATATATTTAATGTTAATTAATTTTGATGATATTAAAATTATTTATATTAATTTGACATTTATTATAAATTATTAATAAAATAATTATATCTACAATATTTTTCATAAATCTATCTAATATTTTTATTTATACAGTTTTTTGTGATAAATAATTATTAATATATATATATACTGAATAAAATTATATAAAAGTTCTATAAAATCTTAAATATAAATTATTAAAATTAGTTATATTTAATTACTGGTTTAATATATCAATTGTTATAGACTCATTCACAAAAGTGATAATTTCTTTTTTTTTATATAGTTCTTATAATAAATCTATAATTAATTAAAAATATTATATAAGGATCTCAAATATCTCTTATTAAACTTAAAAGTGACATATAGTAAAATGTATTTTTACAATAATTCAGTTAATATCAATAATAGAAATATGATTTTATAATCATTAAATTCCTTTCGTTAAGACAATTTTATTAACATTTAGATTGTTTAAATCTAATTACTAGTTAATTTAAAAACTGGGTATATAGAATAATAAATTTTGAAAAATCCTATAATATGTAACTTTATCAAAATTTATATATAAATTTTACGTAAACTCTAATCTGAATTATATAATAAGATTAGTAATCCTAACTCAAACTGTAAGATGCGAGTCTCTATTATAGATTATACTACAATAGATCTTAGTTTAGCATCAGATAAGTGCAGATTATAATATTAATTTACTACGAATTTTATTAGTTTAATTTCAGGAATGAATTTCATGAAATATATGCAAATTATGCATGTAAATAGATCATAAATTTGTAGAATATGATGACCTTAAAGCTATTTATATATGGCATTAGTAAGGAACAGTCTTTTAAGACTGTTTCCTACTTATGTTAGACTGTGAATCTACTTATGTTAGAATGTTATCTATTTACTACTAGTATTACCTACTTATCGATAGGGGCTGGTTTTGATAGTCTATAGTTATTTGGTAACCTATTTCAGTATCATTGTTTTTCCTTATTTTTTACGTTATTCTTATTCCCTTTCTTTCTTATTTTCTTCCCTTTGTTTAGTTGCTGTTTTTTATGAGCTTCCTTTTCTTTTTGCTTTATGCGCTGCTATATTAGTTTTTCGCTATTCTTCTTTATTCTCCTTTTTTGCTTTTAGTTGATTCCTGCGTGATTTTTGTTTTAGGTTTAAGATTGCGTTTTACTTTATTCCTGATATGTGAGTTTTTCGATATTATACTTGGCCTTTATTTTATGTAGCTAATATTAGTTAGTTATGTAGTGCTTGAGGGTATGATTTGGCGATAGAAGGTATTCTTGCTATGCAGTTTTTTGTGATACGCTTCTTACCCCTGTTGAGTGCCTCTACTGCTAGGGTGTTCAATTGCTGGTCTTGAGTTTGGTTGCGTCATATGGTTCTTTTCTGGAGAGGCGTAATCAGGACGGGTATGGCGTCAAGGAACAGTACTTTCTTTCAGTTTAACGCTCTTCTTCTCTAGATCCTGCATAGTTGCTTCCCTCTCAATTGCCATTTCTTAATTGCCAGTTGAGGCATGAAGTGCTGAATTTGCAATCCATCTATTTGCTAAAGATGTGTTACAATCTATTCACCCACTTTTTGATTGCCGGTAAGATACATGCGAAGTGTTAGTGTTGTGCTATTCTTGCAATTCTGCCTTTTATAGCCTATTTGATTGCTGAGGATGAGACACGAAGTGTTAAATTAGTTTAGAATTTACAGCTTTCATACCCTTTTTTCATGTATTCTCCTAAACCTTTTCGCCTTCCTGTCCTCTTTTCTGCCTATCACCTGATGACCCAAATGCGCAAAATTTATTCTCTCTTTCCTATATATAATTTTGCTTATCTGGATCATCAGATTTATATCCTAATTTTCGCTCAAGCCTTCTTAGATTTCTTTCTTGTATAGTTGCTACTTTGGATATTCTTCTGAGTCTTTTCACCTTTCTGACCTCTTTTCTGCCTATTTATACCATCAAGATGTAGCCTTTATGCCATACCTGGATACATACTAGTGTTAGAGTAGTCTTCTTCCATTATTTTATATAAAGATTCTGAAGAAAACTACTCTGGATGATATACCTGAGAATATACTAGTATTAGGATAGTCTTCTTCCAATATTTATATAATAGAATACGGAGAAGACTACCCTGGATAACATACCCAGATTTATACTAATGTTAGGGTAGTCTTCTTCAAATATTTATATAATAGAATATGGAGAAAATTACTCTAAATATCACCTATTAGGAATATGTTTATTTGTGATTTACTTGTTAACCTGCTATGTGTTTTTTTTTGCATCTATCGAAAAAAATAATTAAACATTTTGAAATTATATTAGAGTATATAAAGTTTTTCCTACTGTCAACATGTATATCTCAACTATTTTCGATCAAACTGATCATATCAGAACTCTCGCCCGCTACGATAACGCTAGTCCTTTAGTCAGTATTTCATCACATAATGAGATCATAGCAGAATATAAAAATAGGATGACTGCTATACTTCAACAAAGCCTATCCGACAAGCAACTCATACATTTCATGTCTACTGAAGTTAGTGATGATACCAAATATATAAATGGGGTCTCTACTTATATTTTGCGCATTAGTGGTTGCTTGATTAATGGGCAAAAAACAGTCGTGAATATTACAGACATCTGACCTTTCTTTGATGTCAAAGTTCCTGAAGATATATCACTATCTACGTTTAAGACCAGATTAGTAAATATATTATTCAATACTCTCAAAGGTACATTAAAATTTGGAATCAAGGATATTCGTGCTTTTCCATTTCAGGACTATTATACAGAAAAGAAAGCATATATTCATATAAGAACGTGGAACCATTTTGATTGGTATAATGTTCTAAAAGCAGTTTGTGAAGTCAGCATTCATACAGCCTCAGATAATTTAAACTGCCAGTATTATTACCGCAAAGTAGCTTGTAAAGAACGATTACCTCTTTCAAGTTTGGCTGTATTAAGCAATTATTTATACAAATTCATCCCGGATGATACTTACCTATTTCGACTATCTGTGGATAATTATAATCCAATAAGTGAGGATGATTATAGTAATCCATTATTCTTCTCAGCACTTACGAGAGATTGAACCCTTATACTCACATGGGGTATTAAGACATATAGTTTACAAAAAACAAGCAAGATGCCTAACTCAAAATATGATGAAGACAAAGTGTTTATGATTTGTATGACAGTGCATTGGAAAGATGATCCTGAACTATTAAAACAAATCTGTCTTGTCAATGTTGAAACAGCACCAGACCCACGCTTGATCACAATTGTATATGGATCCCAGACAGATTTACTAAAAGCATTTGCTTTATGTTGGAAACTTTTAGCCCCAGATATACATATAGGCTTTAACAATTCTCAATATGATTGGCGATTTATTGTGAAGAAAGCTAATAAATTAGGGATTCTCGAATGGATATTCAATCATATGGGCCCTTTGCAATAGAAAGGAGGGAAACGGCTGAAAAATTAAAAATGAACCAATGAGAACATTTAATATAATGTGGCTAGAGGAACATTTTTGGTATATTAAAGTAGGACAGGTTACATAATAAAATTTTTAAATAATTCAAATAATTCA